ATATAATATATGTATTATATATATATTCCATCTTTTGAGCACACATATAACTGTGGATAATCAGGAAGATAATTTATGCTTAATTGTTTAATTTCCTTGAATAGAAATGGCACTAAGATAGTTTTCATTATTCAGACAGACAAAGGAAAGTAATAGTGTCACAAAGACTGCTAAGTTTAGACTGCAAAACAAATTCAAAGTAACCTGGTTGCCCATAGAAACAAATATCTGGTTCCCCCTAGAGACAAATACATAATGTCACTTTCCCAGTTGTTTATTTTGATCTAATGTTTGAGCTTGAGGCAACTGCAGTAGACATAACCTCCTCAGCAGTTGACTTTTTGCATGTAGTCCCAGCCTCAGTTTAGAATATCGGCTGAAAGTTCAGCCAAGTAGCTGTTGGTATATTGTCTGGAAACCCTGAGAACCCTAACCCTATTTGTTACTTACAAGGCAAAGTATTATATACTGTCAGTCAGTGTCACCTTTCTAATGTGAGAAATATTGTGTGACTTGTCTTATATTATGAGAATGGGTGTGGACCTGAAAATGTAACATATAATTTCTAGAGATTGGCTGTGAGAGAGTCTCTGTAGAGCTATGAAGAAGACATTGCGAGGAAGGGAGTCAAATTAGATATGTAGAGGCTAAGCAGAGTTAGCTGGGTAGAGCTATGTAGAGGAGCAGAAGAGATTTTTCACAGAGCAATTTTAAAGATAAAATAAAAGAGAAAGTTGCTATCAGAAAGGGTAATTGTTTCCTTACTTTTCCCTCAGATAGAAAAGGTTTAGCTCTCAGATAGATAATAATTTTTCCTAAGCACTTAAAACATTTATGGACTTTTTTTGCATACCCTGTGCTGACTGGAGACTGCCACCCCTCCAGCTAGCAATAAGTCATACATTAGAAATGGAAAGAGAAAATAAAACTAGGTTTTAGTTATCAATATCATTGATCATATATTTAGCTAAATACAAATCTATGAAAATTATGTAGCCTTGCATATAGTATCTTATTGATATTTGTAATGATAAATTACTGAATAATAACTAGATGAAGAAAATCTTTCAGATTCATAGGCACAAGTAAAGATTTGTCCATTAACATAAATAAGAATTTATTAGTGTTAGAAGGAATTAATAAAATGGATTTGAGAAGGAAATAAAAAAATTAAAAGTAATTAACATTATAAAATTTTAATTTTTTAGACAGGGAAAGACACCTTTTTATTAAATGTTAGTGCTCTACAACCAAAATAAGATAAAACCCGTAAAGCATAATTTTCATGAGTTATTTGAACATTTGTATCAGTTCCTTTTCTAAGAAATAGAGTAGACTATAAAATGCATATATTCTTTTCAGATTTTTTCCACTAGCCTAAAAATACATAAGATGCATTAATTATTTGACAATTATAAGATTTCATTCTATATAAATATATTTGTCATAAAAATTTAAAAAAAGATTTGGAAAATTTAGATAATGTGTTTCCTTTTTAAGCTTCTGTAAAGCAAAGGGCATTGTCATTAAGATAAAAAGGCATCCTACTGAATGGGAGAAGATCTTCACCAACCCTGCATCAGACAAAGGTCTGATCTCCAAAATATATAAAGAACTCAAGAAACTGGACATTAAAATTCTAATTAACCCAATTAAAAAACTGGGGTACTGAACTGAAATGAGAATTCTCATCAGATGAAGTTCAAATGGCCAAAAGATACTTAAGATCATGTTCAACCTCCTTAGCAATCATGGAAATGCAAATCAAAACAACTTTGAGATACCATCTTACACCTGTCAGAATGGCTAAAATGAAAAAACACCAATGATAGCCTATGCTGGAGAGGATGTGGAGTAAGGGGAACACTCATCCATTGCTGGTAGGAATGCAAACGTGTGCAAGCACTTTGGAAATCAGTGTGGCAGTTTCTCAGGAAATTGGGAAGCAATCTACCTCACGATCCAGCAATACCACTCCTGGGAATATAACCAAGAGATGCCCAATCAGATTACAAAAGCTTTTGTTCAACTATGTTCATAGAAGCATTATTTGTAATAGCCAGAACCTGGAAACAACCTAGATCTCCCTCAGTGGAAGAATGGATAAAGAAAGTGTGGAATAGAGTACATTAGAGTACTACTCAGTGGTAAAAAATAATGACATCTTGAATTTTGTATGCAGATGGATGGAAATAGAAAACACTATCCTGACCGAGTTAACCCAGACCCAAAAAGATGAATATGGTATGTTCTCATTCATTAGTGGACTCTAGCCATAAGCAAAGGACATTAAGCCCATACATAGTTCGCTATCATAGAGAAACTAAATAATAAGGTGAACCCAAAGAAAAACATATATCGATCCTCCTGGAAATTGGAAACAAACAAGATCGCCAGACAAAAGTTGGGAGCTTGGGAGTGGGGGTAGGGGTAGGGGTGAGGATGGGGGAAGTAGAGAGTGGCAGAGAGAAGGGAGACAGAAGACTGGAGAGATCTTGGAGGATTGGGAGAGTGGAGATGGAGGAAGGGAGAATATATGAGCAAGGATGAAGATATATACATTAAAGGAGCCATTTTAGGGTTGGCAAGAGACTTGGCTCTAGAGGGGATCCTGGGTGTCCCCAGCTAGGTACTTGGCAGCAGAGGAGAGGGTGCCTGCCTGAACTGGCCTTGCCCCACTATCACACTGACGATTATCTTGATTATCACCATAGAATTTTCATCTGGCGATGTATGGAGATAGAGACAGAGACCCTCATCAGAGCAAAGGACTGAGTTCCCAAGGTCCAGTTGAATTGCAGAAGGAGGAAGACAAGCAAGGAAATCAGGACAGCTAGGGGTTGGTCCACCCACTGAGATAGTGTGCCTGTTCTAATGGTAGCTCACCAAATCCAGCTGGACCGGTTCTGAACGAGCATGTGATCAAACTGGACTCTCTCTCTGAATGTGGCTGACAATGGGGGCTGACTGAGAAGCCATTGATAAAGGCACTGGGACTTGTTTCTACTGCATGTAATGCTTTTTGGGATCCTAGTCTATTTGGATGCAAAGGCCTGGATATGGGGGAGAGGGCCTTGGACTTCNGGGGCAGCAGGAGGGAAATGGAAGGAGAGGAAGAAGTGTAAATTTTTGAATGGAAAAATAAATGAATGGATGAATAAATAAATAAATAAATAAATAAATAAGAATTTAATATAGTAAAACAATATCATCAAGCCAGTTTAAAAATTTTCTACAATTTGTTACATAACCATTTCATCCATCGTGAGACATTAATGTTCTCATAATTTAGATGGAATAAACAATAACTTAATGTTATTTATGCAAAGATCCAGAAAAATATGTGACTCAGTAACTCTAAATTGTTCTGACACATACCAACAGACAGCCTCATATAATGGAAGGTTTTTTGTTGAATATTAGAACAGTGTTTTCCTTTGAAGTTCATTTCATTAACTCAATTCTTTAATATGACATGGTTTCTACCTAGTTTTTCTATTCCTTTTTAATATTTTTCTAAATATTAAATTGGAGATAATTTAATATTTAAAAATTAAGAGTTTTGGATAGTAAGATTTCCTAATAACAAACCTAGAACCTCAGTTTGAATCCACATAGAAAAAGAAAAGAGCTAATCTTGAACATTGTCTTCTAATCTTCACATATCACCATGGAAGGTCCAAATACAAGTCCATTCACATGCACCTAGATCTGGTTACTCCATGCCATCACAAACACATACTTAATAAAAGTGCAATTTAAAATGAATGAAAAATTGTGTATATCCTCTAAGTTTTTTGGTATTGAGTTAAATATCCCATGCCTAACATAATTTCAATTATTTATAACATGTATATTAAGATGTATAAAAGAGATTCATGAAATGAATAAAAATACTTTCTATGTGTTCTCAAATTCTAAAATATTACCATATTGTTTTTGTAAATTCTTTGAAATCCTTGACACAGATTGTACTTTACTGCATTCCTTGTATTTTAGACAAGGAAAAACATTACATATAGTTGGCCTATACTACTTATTAAAAAGTTTGCACAAAGATTGTTACATGTTATCTTAAACAGCAAATAACACAGGAAATAATTGAAGAAATGTTTTCCCATGGGCCTAAAAACAAACATATGTTGTAATTTGACATTTAAAACATCAAAAAGAGGTAAGGTTAAAAGTACCCACACTTAATCAATTTAATATTTTTTTATTAAATTGGGAGTAATTTAAATATGCCAATGTAAAGAAATAATATTTTCTGTTATACTGCTATTTTATCTGTGATTTCCTGTAAAAGATGGATTATAATTGAATAAAAATTGCCATGCACTTTTTTTTTTTTTTGAGACAGGGTTTCTCTGTGGCTTTGGGGCCTGTCCTGGAACTAGCTCTGTAGACCAGGCTGGTCTCGAACTCACAGAGATCCGCCCGCCTCTGCCTCCCGAGTGCTGGGATTAAAGGTGTGAGTCACCATCGCCCGGCTCTGCCTTGCACTTTTACTATAAATTTCTCAATTCAAAATTATTGTATGTTTTTTTTAAAGTAATTACTAATGCAGCAAGATTTCATCACTTTGTTTCTTCAAATTATATGAATATTGTTTTTACATGTGATGGATTTAGTAGTCATCTTGCATAAAATGAATTTGGGTTGAATTTAAGGTCCTATTAGTGGAATAATCAAGAAAGGAACATTTCCCTCTCTCTGTGGGTATTCAAATGCACACATTTGGAAGTGGTCTAATTGGAACATGATTTTAGATCATTTTAATATTTTTCCCAGTGGAATAGATTTAACAGGAACTACTAAAAATGCCATTCAAATTCCCACAGAATTTGAAACCTAAATATAAATTAAAAAATAAATTAAAATAGCAATATGTCTGTATGACATTTAATATGTGTATTACATCTTTGCATCAAAGCAGATCTTGTAGTCTGAGAGTTCATGACGTCATCCTTATGGAATAAAAATAACAATGGAAACATTACCTTTTGTATTGTAATGATTCCTTCTTGTGTTTCTTTGTCAGCAGTTATCTTGAAAATCTCCAACCCATCACCATCCACTATTTTGTATTCCATTTCTGCATTAACTCCTATATCTGCATCAATAGCTTTAATTCTGGCTACAACTGATGCCACAGGCAAAGATTCTGGGACATTGTACTGGTAAGATCCTGTGAAATGTCAAATTAAAGAATGAACAGAACATTCTAATCACCCTCTTCTAAAAACTACAGACTTTTTTCATAATATTTTATAGTTTCATTTTCCCAAAATGGAAAAGCTAAGACAACATAAAATAAATGATGTTTGATGAAGCCTGAAGGAATTTGAGATTGATGGTTTAGCAATGACAAGTAAGAAACAGATTACCTAAAGAAACTCAGGCTAGATGTATGAGAAATATGTTTTCTACAGTAATGAAACTAAACTTATAATCAAAGTATAATTATTAAATATAATTTATCATTTAGATATAATAATCACCACCATAATACCAAACAATAAAACAGTTCCTGTTACAAATTTCAAAAGGCATGAGTAATATTTCCAATAAGTAAACACTGGTATTTATTTAATATCATTTACAAGAAAACTTCCACAAAACTGAAAAAGCACCTGTGGAATGGGCAATATAAGTCTACTTGTAAAACATTAATATTCTGTTAGAGAGAAGAGGTGAATTTGTGAGTTCTATAGCCCTGATTTTGGACATAACTGTGAAAAAGAATAATTAACATTATTTAAAAGCTATGAAAAAAATAAAAAGAGAAAAGACCAATATAACCTTTTGTTTCACTGCTTTCTTAATCATTTTTACCCCTTCCAGATAAAAAGCAAATTTTGAGGGAGGGTGTGGAAGAAAATAGGGATGCAAGTAAGGAATATTATCCTTGAATATTTTCTTCTAATCATTTATTTTCTTTGCCTCTTGAACTTTACTTCATATTCCATTAGTTGTAAATCCATGATTCATTTTCAATTTGGAATATAAAAGGGGCACACTGTCTTTAAGTGGAATGTAGAAAAGAAATGGAGCACTGTTATTTTGGACTGCAATTTTTGAATACTAAGTACTACAGTTTTTAAAATGATTGCTATATATCTGTAAAATTTTACTGGCTTCCTCCAACACATGGAGGTATTCTTTGCAAAACTCAAAGATTTAAGTAGTAACAAATTTGTAGAGAAAGACAAACAATATTATAAGTGTTTGGGTTTCTTCACTTTAGAATCCAAGAGAGGTTCTGAAACACTGGAAAACCTGGGCTCCTTGTCAGGAAAGAGATATCATCCTTTCACCAATTTTAGAGAAAAACAGTCATTTTACAAGGCACCTAAGGTAATAGCATTCTTTTCTGAATCCCCTTCTTTCTTCCCATAGTAAGCAATAAATGACATGGAGGGAAGGGGTTTTTAATAATAATAATAATAAGCTTTTTTTTTGTTTTCTGGAACTACCATAATCGTTCTTGTAAAATGAGACAAATATTAAAATATCTAAATATTTATTTTTAATTGAGAAAAAAGGATAAGTATTTGCAAAGTAACTCACAATGGTTGTTTCATATGATTTAATTTTCTCTCTTGGTATGGAATTGAGTTCCCTGCTTCTACTGGACAAACACTTTAGTGACATTGCACAGACAGACCTCCTAATGCTGAGTTTTAAGCCAATGCTAGTTAAGAGTGGCTGGAAAAAGGGAGTCTCCTCCTTAAAGAAGTCAAGTTCAAGATGACTTTTTGCTAGTTATGATCTCCCCATTTGTCCATGTTCTTTTAGGCAAAGCAAAGTAAATGCAGTGAGCCACACGCAAACAAAATTTGGTAAACTCATTGGCAAGAAATAGGTCCCAGGAAAAAGAGAAGAGGATAAGAGTTGATGATTATGAAGAATAATGTCATAGCACATTATATATATATATATATATATGAAAGAAAGAAAGAAAGAAAGAAAGAAAGAAAAGAAAAGAAAGAAAGAAAGAATTCTCTTTAACATTCTAAAGAAATTCCATATGTTACAAACCCTTGGAAAATAAGAAGCATAGGATAAAACAGCTTTATAAAGAGGACACAACTACCCTAGGGACACAGGATTTTAGTTTTATTTTTCTTTTTATTTCTGGATTAATCAAAAGCCACTTAGGATAGAAACTCATCTGATTGTGGATTTCTGATGCTTTTGTTTGCATTCTTTTTATATATTTAATTATGCATGAAAGAAATACAGTGCAACTGTAAAAAAATGTTCAGTGTATATGATCTTGTTGAAAGCATAAAACAAACACATGATTAAAGTAAGATGAATCTCACCAATTTACGCATCTAAAAAGTTAATAATTGTAATCAAATTAATTTAAAAATAGCCACTACTATTCTAAATCCTTACAGGCAAAGCAAAACTTTTCTGTATAGAACAGATTGGTAGCATTGCTAATTGACAGCTACTATAGATACATAGTATCAACTAAAAGAAAACTTCAATAAATATAAATTCCAAATTACAATTAGTACTTATTCATAATCAAAGTATTAATTCAAGGCAAATTGTATTGTATCTAGAGAGAAATATGAATATGTTTTACCACTCCATATTAACCTTGTTATTACATAGTCAAAGCTTATATTAGGCTCTTGATAAAACATAAATTTGGGAGAAATCAAAAGAGTCTTCTGTCTGCTTTTGGGAGCGTTTTCCACCTCAGTCAGCCTAAATATGTGGGTTTGTGCCTAGTCTTATTGTGACTTCATATGCTGTGCTTGATTAGTATCTTAGGAAGAGCTTCCCTTTTTTACAGGAGAAAGGAGGAATAGGTCTGGCAGAGAGTGGAGGTGACACAGGAGGGACTGGGATGGAAGGAGGAAGGTAAAACTATGCTTGGATATAATATATGAGAGAAAGATAAATAAGAAATATAATATTTGAAAAAATGTAAAGACTGTAAAGATATTTTTAAAGTTAGTCATCTCATTGAATAACTTACTTCGTGGAAAGCGTGGTGGGTTATCATTGACATCAGTTAGGGTCACAGTGACTGACGTGGTTCCAGATAGTCCGCCATTTTGACCAACCATATCCTTTGCCTGAATGACAAGCAAATACTGGTCTTTAGCCTCTCTATCCATGTTTGGAAGGGCAGTTTTGATGACTCCTGTAAGATTTCAAATCTCAGTAAATAGCACCATGATTCACTGTATTACAATAGCAACAAACATTAATAAAAGAGGAACATGTCGTTCCCCAGCTGTGGTGATTTGTGGCTTGCTTTTTTACTTTAGTGTATATTAGAGATCACTGGTGTATATATACTTTATACATTCACTTCCACATCATACTAATATGTACCCATAGGAAATATGTAAACATTTTTTCCCGTTTGTGAGTCTAACTCTTCTCATTTTTTTTCTGCTCCATTTCTTTAACCTTTATACCTCAACATGACTGAGAAACTATTGGCCAGTTTAGTTGTCTGTCTTGCCTATACTTAGGCAAGTCAGCTACACAGTGATTATAGGTGAGCTTGATTTCAGAATGAAACCTAGTATCTAAACAGAACCACGAGTTCTGGTGCAGGAAGTCTATAATTCTATCATGTCAGAGGTAGGAAACAGATGATCAGGTGTTCAATAACTGTAAGCTGAGGAATAACCTAGACTACTCTCTTGGAAATCATCATCATCCCAAAAATTTCTGCTTCTCAGTGGAGGTTCAGTCTTAGTTTTGTTTCCAAAATACCAAGTGACAAAAAGACCATCATGGGAGCAAGAGCTGCTAAAATGTCTGAACAAAAATAGTGAAATAAACTGGCACTTTAAAAATGAACAAAGTGGTTCTTATTTCTAAAAATGAAAACATACAAAATTAAGGGTATGGTAATTAAATTATATTTTGTTATCCCACTCAAAATATTTATTAAAAATTATTATCAAGTACAAAGACTCCAAGTTCAATGGATCTGTATCTTATATAACCATATTTATGCTTATGTCTTCCACTGTCTCTCAAAACATACCTACTAATACACACATATACACAACACATCTGCATCTATGCTTTTGAGTAACACCTACTCACACAGGTGAAATTTTAGTTTTTGACATCAGTCACTTTTTCTAAACACATTGTGCATAACGGGACAGTAGGTACCTCATAGTATCACAAACTAACATTTTCAGGGCCGTTTGCTATCTATGTACTAATTATTTTTTCTGAAACACTACCATAAAATTAAAAAAAATGTTTTAAACGCGACAGTTTTCCTTGTGAAGAGTCTGATGCTAAATTACTCTTTGTGAACTGCAATGATTTTACTAATATTTCATGTTTTTCTTTTTGTTATTTCTAAAGCTGTAGTGAAAAAAGCATGAGCCTCACCCAGCATGGCTATTTACAAAGAAACTTTCTTAGGCTATGAATTTGTGAATTTAGGTAGTTGTGTTTTTTTTTCTATTTTCTTATTTTTATTTGTCACTAATAAATTTAGTGTGTCTTTTTAAAAAAAGACTGAAAATAAACTGGGTGGTGGTAGCATACACCTTTAATCTCTGGGCTTGGAAGGCATAGGCAGGTAGTTCTCTGTGAGGTCAAGGTCAGTGTGATCTACAAGACTAGTTCCAGGCAAACTACATCTGTTACACAGAAAAACCCTGTCTCGAAAAAAAAAAAAAAAAAAAAAAAACTGACGAAACTGGA